TGTGTGTGTGTGTGTGTGTGTGTGTGTGTGTGTGTGTGTGTAATATGATATAATATATACAGTCGGCACATATAGGAATTTGCTGAAGTCATGAGCATTATGATGGCAATATAATTGAGACGCCCTGTAAGTCAAAATCATTTCCATTAAAAAATTACTTCTGTGGCCCCTTAGCTGTCTACCTGACATTTATGTGATCGTGTGTCTCTCTTGTTTCTCACTTGCTCTCATTCTCTCTCTCTCTCTATACTGATCCTTATTCAGTGTGCTAGAGAAACATGTGGACCTGGATGAGTATGATGAAGTGAACGATGGCACGTTACTGGAGATTTGGTACACGCCGCCAGAGGCTGTAGGTTGGTGGCGCCTCTTTTGGTTTCCAATTTCTGTCCAATTTTGTGTCATGCTCAGCTCGCCCTCATCTGTATATGCTTATGTTTCCTTCTAGTCTTGCCAAATGATGATGAAACAGGTATAGATATATATTACCAAGTTTAAGATCTTCTCAAAGCCTTTACTGAAACGGATGAATAAAAAGGTAAAAAGCTTGAATGATTAAATAATGTTGTTGTTGTCATTCCAGATGCAGAAGCAGATACAGGACCTTCTTATACAGGTAAAAACCAGTCACGTCTTACTCTACAGTAAAAATGAAAAGTAAATCCACAATATTGGATTCATATTTGGAGAAACGGCATTGGAAATGTGCACATGCAAACCACTAAGCCACAGGTCTGACAAACTCTAATGTAAATGCTGATATGATTGTTCAGTGCGGACGTGTGAGCACAACATGCGACAGCTCACACTCGCCCGGGTGAAGCGCTCCACATCGCCACTGTTGTGCCACGTCCGAGCCCGGGTGAAGAAGTACAATCCTCAGCAGTTATACCAGTGCCTGAAACTCTTCTGCTCCAACTGTAAAACAATGTGAGTCTGACACTTTACACAACCCACTCTTGGCTCTCATTTTGTCTTATTTTGAAGTTTTGTAATATTGGTTATTGTATACTTGTTTAATACATAATTGTACCATTGTAATTTAATACTCATTGCGTTCATTATTTTAAGATATAAATCACTGTCGGTGTCGATAGCCTTGCGGGCAGTGCACTGACATGTAGCGCCGTTACACTATGGGTGTCCCGAGTTTGAATCCCGGCTCGGGACCTTTCCTGATCCTTCCTCGCTCTCTCTCCCCCACTTCACTTCCTGCCACTTCTACACTGTCCTATATTAATAAAGTAAAAAAATTCAGAAAATAAATATTTTTTAAAAATACATTTAATTGTATTTAAATTTTAATTTTGTTAATTTTTTTTTTTTTTTGGTGATATGTACTGGTTCATGGGCATTTTGAACTTGGAAAAGAAGTTCCTGGAATAGCATTATATTTGGTGTTTCACTCTTGAGGAGCAGACTTGAGCTTCAAATGTATTGTTCTAGATTTGCTGTATGTTCTGTTTGCCACCTGGTGGTTGTTTAGTGCAATAAAATTGCAAAAAAAAATAATTTTTTTAACTTTGTATATCACAATCCTAATAAATAAGCTTTTTCCTTTTTACATTTACACTAGCATTCAAAAATTTGTTATCAGTAAGGTTTTATTATTTATTGTCAGTTTCAGTTTCTCAGGGGATGTTCCCATTGGCTTGGAAGTCATCTGTTATTGTGCCTATATTCAAAAGTGGAGATGTTCATTCTGCTAGTAATTACAGACCTATTAGTATTTTACCTATTGTCTCAAAGGTTGCAGAGAAATTGATGGCTGCACAAATCACTAATTATTTAAATACCGGTTAATTTGCTTTACATGCAATGCAGTTTGGCTTCAGAGCAAACTATTCAACTGAGATGGCAAACTGTTACTTCACTGAAAAAGTTAAGTCTCTATTAGACAAAGGAGGGGTTGTTGGAGTGGTGTTTCTTGACCTCAGGAAGGCTTTTGACACCGTAAACCACAGAATTATTGTCTAAATTATTAGGTTTTAATTTTTCTCAAGAGACTTCAAGATGGATTGAATCATATTTGTCAGGTCGCACACAGTATGTCAGAAAACAGAATTAAAAGGCAGCTCCCATAAGTATATCCACAGGTGTTCCCCAAGGATCTATTTTGGGTCCATTGCTTTTCACGTTGTATATCAATGATCTTCCATCCGTCTGTCCCAACACTAACATCCAAATGTATGCGGACGACACAGTTATTTATAAACACAGAAGCAGTGTGTCACAAGTTGCAAATGAACTTACAGAATCCGTGGTTCATGTCACAACTTGGCTAGAACAATGCTGTTTACAGTTAAACATCTCTAAAACAGTGTGTATGTTTTTACCAAAACTAATAGTTCAAGTGTAGTGCCAGATGTTTTTGTATCAGGGGAATATAAGTACCTCTGTGTTGTGATTGATTCCAGACTTTCATTTAAGGCTCATGTTAAAAAGGTCTGTAACCGGGTCCAATTTAGTCTGTCAAACTTTAGATTTATTCGTGATTATATGTCATCAGAGGCCGCTTTGATGTATGTGCATTCTATGATTATTTCTCATATCACTTATTGTTTAACAACTTGGTCGCAAGCTAGTATAACTACTCTGAAACCACTGGAGTCTTTGTATAAACAATCACTAAAAACTCTTGATAAGAAATCAGTTCAGTTTCATCATTGCTCAATACTAAAAAAAATTTAATTTGCTAAGCTGGGATAACCTGATCAAATATGTAGATATTTGTCTAATGTTTAAGACTATACATAGCCGTACTTCACCGTTGAAACAGTTTGTGAATATTAGAACAACTGCTCATCAGTCCAAAAGGGGTGGGTAAAGGGGACTGTATTATTTCACTCAGAAAATGTAAATTTAGTCAGTCTGTATTCTCAGTCAAAGCTGCAAGGGACTGGAACTCAATTTCATCAATAATTAGAAGACTGGATACATATGGTTCTTTTCAGTTTCATCTTAAAAAATGGTTGCTGAAACCTCAGGACTGTCAACATTAGTATTGTATTCTTAATTTTAGACTTCTCTGTACTAATTGCTCTTGGTTATTAGCTTTCTCCTGTCGCTACCTCTCTCTCTCTCTCTCTCTCTCTCTCTCTCTCTCTCTTTTTCCTTATATTTTATTTTGTTTTGATAACTTACTGTGTTTTAGTTCGATTTTTATATGCAATTATGTATTTGTATTTTTTAGCATTCTATTTTTTTTAATCTCTTCTTCTTTGTTGGTTGTAATATGTGTCAAAGATGCTCTGTTTTGTTTTTAGGGTGACTTTTTTTTAAACATTCTATCAAGGGTCTACAGATGAAAAATAGCCTCTTTGGCTAATTCTGGCACATTTACAGCCAAGTTTATTAATGTGCATTGCCCCTGTAAACAAATAAACTAAACTAAACTAAACTATTTATTTGTTTTTTTTTGTTTTTTGTATTTATTTATCTATTCAGCAATGATGTATTAAGGACATTTATAATGTTACAAAAGGTTTCTATTTCAAATAAATTCTGTTCTTTTAAACGTCATATTCATGAAATAATCCTGAAAAAAAAATCCACAAAAATATTAAGCAGCTCAACTGTTTTCAACATTGATAATAATAAATGTTTTTGAGCACCAGATCAGCATATTAGAATGATTTCTGAAGGATCATGTGACACTGAAGACTGGAGAAAATTCAGCTTTGCATGACAGAAATAAATTACGTTTTAAAATGTATTCAAATAGAAAACTGTTATTTTAAATTGTAAGAATATTTCACAATATTACTGTTTTTACTGTATTTTTAATCAAATAAATTCAGCTTTGCCATCACAGGAATAAATTACATTTTATATTCAAATAGAAAACAGTTACTTTAAATTGGCATATTATTTGACATTATAGTCCTTACATGTTTTTGAATAAATAAATGCTGTCTTTGTGAGTATAAGTTATTGTTCCAATCTTTTGGCTGGCAGTGTGAGTAATTGCAGTAAAAACCTTCTTTCGAAAACATTAAAAACCTTACCAACCCCAAACCTTTGAACAGTAGTCTGCTTCTTTTTTTTTCTTTTTTTTTTGTATGTGACAGGGAAGATGTTCCCGATGACAGCGCTGTTGCTAAAGTCTTTCGGGAGTCAGCGAAAGACAGCCAACCTTGCGATGAGCAGTGGGCCGCCACTTCATCAGCAAGTTCTAGAGAGCCTGGCAGAGCCATCTCAATGCACATATCCAGAGACATGGTGGGGGAAAGCACTCACATGCAGCTGATATTCGTCGAAGGTATCTGACTATGAAGAGAAGTATTTTTATATGTATATTTTAATATCCATTTACAAAAAAGCTTTGTATGTACAGGAACGACGCTGGATGAGATTTGTGTGTTATCACGGGATTACAAAAACCTGGTTCCCGTGAGATCAGTGAACGGCAGGATGACTCTGATGGATCTCACAGCTCCATTCCTGTTCTCTGGAGACAAAAGATATTACGGGTAAGACGACAAGCTTACCTGCTTCATTGTAAACTCCCCTGGTGTTCAGCGTGTACGTCTATTATCATGAAAACAGTTTATGACAATCCCCAGGGAAGGATACGATCATATCTATATGTAGTTAAACATATTTGTGTGTCTCAGGTGTAAGCAGTGCTCTCTGAACACATTTCAAAACCCTGTGTTTGCTGGAGTGGAGACATGGGATGAACAGGCAGTCGCTGAAGGTACTTTTTAAAAAAAATAAATAAACAATTGCAGCATTCATTTTGACTATTTATGCCTATTTTTACCTGATATGTAGAATTCTTTTTTATGATAAAGCAAATAAAAAGGTAATCAAAATGATTTTATTTTGGCATACAGCACCACAAAGTGTTAGCTATAACAGTATTATTAATATACTGTTATAGTTTTTATATTTTGAATGAGGTTTTTATTTTTAGATCTTCTATTTTCATTCTGTTTTCAATTAAAATATAGGTCCATATAGGGCTTTTTTTTCCTTCAGTTTTTGTTTTAGATATTTTTGCACATCAAGTTAAACTAAACTAAAATGAAAAATGTTGCTTTAGCCACTTGCTGAAATAAACAGTTTTTTTTATATTTAATTAGAGTTAACGCTTATTTTATTTCAAGTAACAGAAATGTTTTTAATGGTTTTAATTTTAGCTTTAGTTATAGTTAACTAATAATAACCCTGCACTGAGTGAATATATATTTTATTGTAATGAAATGCATATAGACTAAGAAGAATTTTATGTGCCACTTCAGATATTAATATCTAATGTTTCTGAATGCTGACATTCTTAATCATTTATTTATACAGAAAAATTACATGAATTACTACAAAAAATTACATTCATTTATTTAAATATTTTCCCTTGTTATTCTACTTCTTATGTTAAAATGTTATTTTTGCATCATGTTTGCTACCTCAGTTGAAATTTCAGAGCAAGGACTTGGCTAAGGCCAAAATAACATGTCATGTCAGTTTTAAATTATCATTAATTAAATTGAGGTATTTTGTTGTTGTCGTCGTTGTTATTGTATGTTATTATTTATTATTTGTTTGTTTTGTTGATTTTAATGAGCCTAGTTCTGGTCAGACGTATTTTTTTGGCAATAGATGCTATTTACACTAAGAGTAAATAGCAATTAGATGCTATTTGCACTAAGTGAAAATAGCATATTTTCTTAGCAATGGATGCGATTTACACTAAGTGAAAATAGCTATAGATTCTATTTACACCATGTTAAAATAGCAGGATTTTCTGCTATTTATACTACTTAATGCAAATAGTGGCAATTATCTGCACCTCAGTATTGTAGTACATTATAAAACAGTATGCAATAATAACATATTGAGTGTAAATTATAATTGTAATTCATATTATTAAATGAATGCCACCTTATTGGGACAATAAAGCCGTCCCTACACCGACCCTAACCCTACCCAATACTTCATTTTCAACTTTTTGATTATTTCCTTTATTTTTATTGAAAATAAATGCCTTTCCGATGTGATATGAGGTTTGAAAATGGAGGAAAAAAAGTTTGGCAAAAGGCGGGTTCGAACCTGGGGCGATCGCGTCAAAAACACTACGGTACGCACTTTACTATCGACACCACTGGAGCTGACATTTGATAGCCGTCTTTTGTAGTGTTGACTAGTCCAATCAGACGTTGGTGGGCGGAGTTAGTGTAAATAGCCTCTGCCAACAAGGCACTTACAGTGTCTGTAAATAGACACTGTATTTTTTTGCAGGTGTATTTTCAAAAAAGCTGACTCAGGCATAACTGCAATTTTAACTTTTTTTGTTGTTATTTTCTTTTTTATCTCATGTGATGTCCCAGTTGGCCTAAAAAAAAATTTGGACACTTCAGCCACTCTTAAAAATGTACGACTGTATATTTAGACAGTTCATCGGTGTCTCTGTCACACAGCTCTGGGAGTTCAGCTAATGCAGTACAGATTGTTAATCCAGTTTGAACTGGAGGACCAGACCGACACATTAGAGGCTCTGCTGTGGGAAAACGCTGTGAGTGTACATATAGCAATGCCATTTGATTAAATATCTAAGTTAATTACAGATATGTATGTTGCGTGTAAACATTGTGTATATAGCTTTTTTGTTGTAGTGCAAAACAGGATGCGTTTTCAGCATTTGATTAAAGAACTGCAATTATTATTATTTCTAAAAGCAAAAACATTTGAAGTTAAAATCTTGCAAAGTAGTCTCTCAAAAGAGTAGAAATGCTGCATGTGTTCATCAGCAGAGGGCGCTGTTTTTTTATTCAGAAATAGGTTTGAGTGATTGTCTCATTCTTTACAGGAGAGGTTCTTCCATGTTTCTGCTGTAGATGCTTCAGGCAGTCAGGATTTGCAGGACAAGATTCAGACCATCATGGACACAATTCAACCACCAGACAGCAGTTTGGGTAAAGATTTCATTTCCTATGAATATTTTCTCTAAATTCCTACATTATTTAGCGTACGATAATGTTGTTGTTTTTTTCTCTGTACTGTCTTTGTAGAGGAGCGTCCATGGCTGGATCTTTGTGTCTCTGTCTACACTGTAAAGGACAACGACAGAAATAAAGTTTGCTGTCAGATCACTAACACAGAAATGAAAGAAGAATAGAGAAGTTATGGACATTTTGATTAAAAGTAAAGAAATCATAGATGACCACCTGTGATGAACAAGAAAAAAGGGTTTGCCAGGAATATTTTGTGTTAAGAAATGTAAATACATTATGATCAAACGCAATCCATAAATTCATATTGTAAAATAAAACATCTTTAATACATCTGTTCAGTCTTTTCTGCAGAATTCCCAGTTAGAAGCTTGAAAAGTAATGGGCTAGTTCTGTATAGAGTATATAGAAAAACTCTTTTCCGCTTGGTTTGCTTAGACCTGTATGTCATTATTTAACAAGCCAAGTGAAGATAACTGAGCATCGACAGCAGGGGGTTGTTGCTGGAAACACATTGCAGTTCTGTTTCAGTCCGCTAGGTGGCGCATTCACTGTATTGCATCTGTGAAAGCGGCGCCTCCCTGACAGAGCTTCATATCGCAGAGCTGCATCAGGAGCCCATGAACGGCACTCAAGGACTTTCACTTTATCGAGATGCTGGATGTTCTTGGCCTTGGCGTGTATATTGTTCCTCATACGAATCGCTAGGAAATATTTCAGAGGTTCCATGGCTGCAATGAGTTTTTAATTGTTTGGTTAATCACCTGTTTGACCAAGTATTTATTTTTATTTTTTTTCCTCACGGTTCTGCTGTTATAATATTACTTTTAAACATGGAAACTGGAGATGCTTATCTAAAAGCCCATGAACGGCACTCAAGGACTTTCACTTTATCGAGATGCTGGATGTTCTTGGCCTTGGCGTGTATATTGTTCCTCATACGAATCGCTAGGAAATATTTCAGAGGTTCCATGGCTTCAATTAATTTTTAATTGTTTGGTTAATCACCTGTTTGACCAAGTATTTATTTTTATTTTTTTTCCTCACAGTTCTGCTGTTATAATATTACTCCTGGGATTTAAAAATGGAAACTGGAGATGCTTATCTAAACGAGAGACCAGCGAACGGAATGAAGCTTGATGTTTGCCCTACAACTTTGCCTTAAAAATACTGGAATTATCAGATTTGGATATTGTTGAGGGATATACGCAATGGAAATGCCATTTTTAACTGTATTTTGTTTGCTCATTTGTTGTGAACTCTCAGTAGTTCTCGCGCGTATCAATAACACGGCAGATTTAACGTCAAAATTCGTTTCAACCTATAAAGTGCGTGAAATCAATACAGACAGCCGTGAACGACGTGTAACTTTAAATAAGATCAGTTATGAAGCGGGTAAGGAGCCTAAAGATGTGCTTTCATCGAGCAGGACTACTATAAACGTAATGCCGGTGAATGGGAGCGATAACACAACGGTGAGAGCATCTTCCAGGCAAAAGTACGAAAAAAATGATCAAATGGACAAATATAACAAAACAAAATCATTTCTGAAGGAAACACAAGGCGAAATTCGCGTTAAAAGGCGTTTTCGTCGACAGGATCGAGTAACGGTCGTTAATGAGCCTGACAGGAATCCAACTATCAAATCGCAAGATAATGAACTTGAACGCGTGGAGTCATTGCCTAAACCTGTAGCGCAGATCCAGCCTACTGACTTTCCCACTGAGTTCACGTCTATCCCTGAATGGGACACCTCACCTGTGGAGGACTTTGAGGAAGTCTTCACCCCGTTCATTCCCTTTAATACACGATCAAAAACTCCAGGGGTGAAGAACCCGTTTTACCCCGTGACAGGTGAATCGTACGGTGCATATGCTGTCATGTGCATCTCCATCCTCATTTTCACTGTGGGAATTGTTGGGAATGTAGCAATCATGTGCATAGTGTGCCACAATTACTACATGAGAAGCATTTCAAACTCCTTGCTGGCCAACCTCGCCCTGTGGGATTTTGTCATCCTCTTTTTCTGCTTGCCACTTGTTATATTCCATGAACTCACTAAGGATTGGCTCCTTGGGGAATTCTCCTGTAAAATCATTCCATACATTGAGGTAAAACTGCGGTTGGTCACTTTTAATGGATGATTGAAATGCGGTTTGTGTTTCTGATGTGTGATATTCTTGGTATTATGCCTACTATTTCAAAATGAGTATGTTAATGGTAAGATGTATTGATACTAAAACTATAGGCTATAGTGTATTAGTAATATAGGATATCAGTTTGGATAAAAAAGTTAATATGGAACCATGTTTGATCACATACTGTACATCACATACTAGAATGTTTTCATGCCACTCCATCTCTTGTGCTTTAATGCAGCCTAAGTAGGTCCCGCTGTATAGTGTAAGGTGAACCTTGGGACTTTCTTGGGTCAGACTGATGATTGAGTGGGCCGGGCCTGGTTTCAGGATTGAGCTTGACTTTATTCTAGCAGGTTCTCAAAGATAATCACACTTTCACACATGAAGCTGGTTAAACTGTAGTAAAGTTGCTGGTTTCCCATTTCAGGTGAATGCAGCACATCTGATATTCACACGTCATTCGTCATTTTATCTGTGTCGGCATTTATTCCGTATCAGCATTAAAAATTATACAACTTGATGTCGTTTGAATCTGAAATGCCACTAAAAGTGTTTCTTTATGCCAGAAACACTTAGTATTTGTCTGTTGGTAACAAAGCTGAGTACTCAAGGGAAGTGTTAAATTTTCCTTCAAATGTCAGTTCTACTGAACCGTAAGTGTTATTAGTCAAGTAAGTTGCTATATACCTATTGACTTAAACTTTCTTAGTAAGATTTTTGTCAAACTGTTTGTCCTTCAAGACAGTTGTTGACCCAAAAGAGGAACTGACTGTAAAAGACGATATTTACACCTATAGCACCTTTTGTGGCAACATTGAGATTGCAGAATATTTTGCATTGTGTTATTTCAATCAACCTTCTGGGTTCACGTACTGGCGTATAAAGCTGCGCCATTCAGTGTCTGTCCAATTTCACACAATGTAAGATAGTCACAATTTTTGAATTGAAATTTCTGGATTTTTGCATCAACTACTTTGTGATTCGGCCTCTTGACAGACTTGCATCAAAGCACCCTATGTATTGTACAAGTTCAAACCACTAATTAAACATATAGCTTGAAGTTTGTTTTTGCAACGCTTATAAGCCAACAAATGTCCAGATCTGATTTGTTGGCATTTTAACAATGGGAGCTGTTCACACATTTTAAAATGAAAAATGCTGTTAAATTAACAAAAAGGCTATATGTGTGAAAGTGTGTGTAGACGACAGGAATTCAGTGCAAATGTATACGTGTAGGTCAGGACAGACATCTTGGCTGTGTTTCGTCTTCCTCAGTAATGGGGAGTGTCTCTGCAGACACAAAGAGATAGTGGTATTGCCCTGGGGCAGCTTTCAGATTGTATCATGTGTTTCTGAGGAATTGACCTGATTGGTGCCATAGTTGTGGCTTTAATCTCCTGGTACACTACAGAGCGCCAGCGCCTACACCCTAGATTCAGAACAACCCTCTAACTTGATCACTATGTTTCAACCTAACAATGAAGTCGATGGCCTTAAATGGAAAGGCTGTGGTTTTTATGCACAATCTAGTGGGATTAAATTTCTTTGTCGTTCCACGGGCTTAGGAGTTCAATACAAATTATGCTCAATCGACAGCCCTTGGCTTAATGTTGATTACTAATTAATTCGGACTTGTTCCTCATTCCTGAATGTTTTTTTTAGAGGATTCAAATGCAGAAATGTTAATATTTTTATAAAAGCACTTACATTAATTCTTCCGGTAAAACCTTTATTTAAAACTTGCATTGATTATTTGAGCTTTATGTTTGTTCTTGACATTTTAGGTGTTAAGCTGTCATTTATATTTATGCATTTGGCAGACACCGCTTACGTTGCATTCAAGGTACACATTTTATGAGTTCTTGCTTTCCCTGGGAATCGAACCCATGACTTTGGTGTTGCTAGTGCCATGCTCTAGTAAACAATTTTTTCGCATTAAAATCATGTTAATGCACATATTGTTTATGTCTCGTGACTATACTATTTAGTATTTAAAAGTTTACGAATTTGCCCGATTCACTCCCGTTGTAAGTGCCTCACTGTAAAACCCAAAGTATGCTTTAGTTTTTACACATATGCATGACACAAATTTTGTCACCAGAATAGAATGCACATACTGTACTCACACTGTCCGATTTTTGAAACCGATTACAGTGATATTGGTCACACATGCGTATTGAATTGGTTTTGCACTAATCAGTTGTTCCAAAAGTGACAACACTGGCCCAGGCCACTGTTTCACAATAGAAAACGAAACTAAAGAGATAAAATAACAACAACATAGCAGAGACTGCAACTACAACAGATGCCTGCATTGGCAACGTTTGTGTAAGGGGGTTATGAGATAGAAGCAACTTTGGTTTAAAAGAGTAAAAAGACATTTTTATTGGTCATACCTTCTGGAGAAAATAGAGTGCATGTGTCGGCCGCCTGTGTTCGCATACACCTTTGAAAGGCTGGGCACTCAGATGTACGCATATGCTAGTGTATACATACACAAACAAAGTATTCTTTTGGCTTAACCCAGATTTTTGCTTTTTTATGCCACAAGTGTTGTCAATCAAGCTTAAAGGGATAGGGTAGTTCACTCAAAAATTGAAAATTTTGTCATAGCTCAAGTTGTTCCAAACCTGTATGAGTAAGAATGTTGATTACCAAATGGTAGTCACTGATTTCCATAGTAGGCCTATTTTTTTTTTCCAAAGGAAGTCAATGCTTACTGTCAATTGTTTGGTTACCACCATTCTTCAAAACATTCTTTAGTGCTCAACAGAAGAAAGAAACTCATACAGGTTTGGAACAACTTGAGGGTGAGAGAATGATGACAGAACTTAAATTTTTTGGGTGAACTGTCCAATAGAACATGGAATGAATGTTAATAGAACCTGGAATGTTCCTTGATCTACTTTTTGTTGAGGTTTTTCAGTGGAAGGATTTTCTAAAAGTTTATTTATAATGACCACACATCCCTTTTACCTTGCAGGTGGCGTCTTTAGGAGTAACTACCTTCACTCTTTGTGCTTTGTGCATTGACCGTTTCCGTGCCGCAAGCAACGTCCAGATGTACTATGAGATGATCGAGAACTGCACCTCCACTACAGCCAAGCTAACCGTGATCTGGCTGGGTGCTCTGCTCCTCGCTCTGCC